CGTAATTTGCCTCTGTGGTAGCTTGTAAGATCTTCCGCCACTTACCATTCACCAATCTCTCTGCCATTTCCAAATTCTTGTTGAAAAGGTTGTAAGCTTTCACTTTGACACAGTTGTTGATGTGCCATGTGCACAACAAGTGCTTCGATTGTGGAAACAGCTCTGCTATGGGGGCAAAGAGACCTCCCTCACAATCACTGACGATGGCTGATGGCTGAACATTAGGGCCTATGTAGTTTCTCAGCTTCTCCAAGACCCAATAATAACTCGCAGCCGTCTCATCCTTGATGACTGCATGACCAATTAGAAAGTTCTGGTTCATTGGAGTCATCCCAATTATCTCAACCAGTGGGAACCTGTGCTTGTTTGTCTTGTACGTTGAATCGATCAAAATCACAGATAGCCAAGACTTGATTATATCAGCACAATCAGGACGCACAAGGAATAGATGAGTCACCTCCGTTGTATCTTCATCAGAATTATACCAGAACAGGTAGCCACGTGCTTGTGCCTGGTGTAGAAGCTGCTGTATAGGGTTCCTTCCCTCTGACCGTTCAAACCTCAGTTGCTGTCTGACGTTGTAGATGTGTCTTCGGTTTGGCTGGTCCTCAGGAAATTTCTCTAGCACAGATGCTAATATTTTAGCAGGCTTCACTTGAGCATCACTCATTTCTTTGACAACAGTTTTGCAGCAGGACTTAAGCCGCTCAACTGTCGATGACCCACTTCATATACTATCATCTCATGGTTGTGATACCCCCATTTGGAGTAACCCTTCACTTCCCAACCTTCACAACTCTCTAGTTGCCGAACCTTTACTCTGAACTCACACCCACAACCTTTCCGCTTTGTATCAAACCGAGTGACTGTACTAAAATCTCTTTCTTCTCTTCTGCGATAACGGTCGCATCTCAAAATGCGATCCATTCTACCATCTTGTTGAGATTTATGACTTGTTACTAGCAAGCAAAAACCAGAAGTAATTGCAACTTGTTTAGCCCAATCAATCGCTTGTTGAGCATCTTCGAACGGACCATCATGTACAAATATCCCACTGTAATCATTTCCGTCTCCACCATAATCCTGCATTAATTACATATTATATTTAAATACATATAATTTTGTAAAGCATAAATTAATACATTTAACACAACATTAACACATAATTAATATCTACATCTTTAATTTGTAAATTTCATTTCAATATTTAACGCATAACACATTTAATTTATATATTTACACATAATTGACACAAAATTAAAAACATAATTATGTATAACAGTATTCATACACATACAAAATTAAAACATAATCATTTATAAAAGTATTCATACACATACAAACTTAAACATAATTATGTGTAAAAGTATTCATACAGATACAAAATTAAAACATAATTAATTTTTTTGTAAATTATTAACACAAATCTAATTTCCACATACAAAATTATAAATTCAATTTATTAACAAATATATAAAACATAATTTCAAGTTAAATTTTTTTTTTTACAATTTAAATTTAACAAATTTATAAACAAAAAAAGCAAAAAACAAATTCAAAATCTAATTTCCACATACAAAATTATAAATTAAATTTATTAACAAATATTTAAAACATAATTTCAAGTTAAACATTTTTTTTTTAATAATTTCAATTTATCTAATTTATAAACAAAAAAAAAAAAATACAAAAAAAAAAAAAAAAAAAAAAAAACAAAAAACTTAGTGGCGCCTGGTTGGACCACCACCACCATGGCAGTGGCGCCTGGCCAGGACACCGGCACCATGGCGGTGGCGCCTGGCCAGGACGCCGGAACCGTGGTTGTGGCGCCTAGCCTGGAAGCCACCACCACGGTTCCGGCGTCCTGGCCATGCGCCACCACCATGGGTGCCGGCGTCCTGGCAGGCGCCACTGCCATGACGGCGGTGGTCCAGGATGTTTTACCTCGTTTGCTGCGACGACGACGGCTCTTCGGCGTCCCTCGGCTCTCCGGCCTCCTGCGGGGACCCATTACGGCTCCACATTTTTCGATGTCAGAATTTATCGTTTTTGGCAAGAATTCACAAATGGGCAAAAGTGTCAAAACAAGTCTATTTTGTGGGCTTTATATAGTAATTTGTGGGCGATGTTTAACAAATCCCATGCAAGTATCCTTGAATTATTTTTGGGAAAAAATTGGATTTTTTACGAAATTGAGTTAATTTCACAAACAATTTACCAATCTAGACGCGTGGCCAAACTATTTACCAAACTAAGCTTTTGAGATAAATCGCTGCTTCGGTCAGCGTTTTATCCCTTATTTTTATTTTATTTTTTAAATTTCGTATTTTATGAAATACAAATTAAATTAAAAAAAACTGAAAATACTAAAAACGCTGCCTTAGTCAGCGTTTTTTGTGTATTTTTTTTTAAATGTGGGAGGGATTTTAGCATTGCTATAAAACGCTGTCTGAGGCAACGTTTTATCTGCTGGCTGACTGCAGCCAACAGCAGCAGCCCCAACCCAGTTTCAGTCATCCTCCACCACTCAAAGCTCTCTTTTCAGCCACCACCACCCTCCTCCACTACCACCTCCCATCCCCACCGACATCCATCACCACCGCTTCACCATCCACACCGCCCCTCCAACACCTCCTGACACCACGACCACCATTTCCATCCACCACCATCTCTTCACATCCACCACCACCACCACCGCCACCACTATCAACCACCACCTCCCATCCCCACCGGCATCCACCACCACCACTTCACCATCCACACCGGCCTCCAACACTTCTCGACACTACCACCACCACTTCACCATCCACACCGGCCAGGTGTCTAGTTTGGTAAATAGTTTATGTGTTAAGCTCAATTTGGTAAAAAATCCAATATTTTTTTGTGTTAAAAGGTGAAAATGTTCCATATAAAAGTCAAAATTTCCAATTCATTAAAAAAAAAAAAAAATCAAAAAAGAAAAACAAAATCTACTATAGAGACTCAAATATTAGAGCTCCATCTTCAACTTGGTGAGCGCAGTGAACAAACACAACTGAACTCATTCATCAATTTCTGGGTTTTTTCTCTCAGCCTTCAGGTTATTCTTGTTTTCTCTCTCTTTCAATCGCAATCACTTCTTTCTTCCCCAAATTTCTTATATTCCGAATTTTCAATCTATGCTTTCCAATTTAGGGTTCCTGATTTCAACATTCCAATCAATCTAGGGTTTTTGATTCGGTCTTTAAATTGATCCGTTATATTTTGTTACAGTATTTTGCAGATTAATTTAGGAGAGAGAAAATGGGAGGAGACGGTGGTCATGTCGATGGAGGAGACTTTAGGTCTAAGGTGTGGAGTTTTTCAGGTGGGCCCAATTGCCGTCCCAAGCATTGGCGTCGTAATACCGTCTTCGCTCTCGCCGGCATTTTTCTCGTTTGTGTTCCCATTGCCATGAAATCTGCTCAGCTTGAGGTCTTTTTTCTCTCTTTTGCCCAAATGATTTTTCTTGCAATTAGAGTGATTGATCTTCAAAATGTTGTCAATTGTATTAACTTTTAATGTATGGAATGCTAATTGTGTCCGAATTTGCAATTAATTTGACTGTTCTATGATAAAGTAGAGTTAGGTGAGTCGAAAATAAATTAGTTCTGTTACTGTTGTTTTTGATGGGTTTGTTGGTGTTCAATGATGTTGTGGTGATAGCCAATTATAAATGGGAAGGAATAGGGTGGGGTGGGGTGAGCTGGAGGGGAACCAGGTGCGATGAGGAAGGAGTCCTCCGCCTCAATTTTTATGTAAGCAACTACTTTCAAAGATGTGATGGTAAATACTTCGGTTGAATATACTTCGATTAAATTGAGTTTCTTTTCCCCTGAGATTGATTGACTGACATGTATTATCTTTGTGGGAGAACTTGGGAAGGGGGAAAAAGAGAGGGGGTTGTCTCCTGAGATTGATTGACTGACATGTATTATCTTTGTGGGAGAACTTGGGGAATTTTTTTTTTTTTTTTTTTTTTGGGGGGGGGGGGTGGGAAGAGGTGGGGAGTATGCTGGCCTGCTGGACATCATGTATGAATTGAAAGGCTTAAATAGGTAGATGGACTTATGCCATGCTTATGATGTTGCGAACTTAACTGTCTCAAAATGAAATGTAGATGCCTTGACGGGATACAATTGTAGATACTTGATGAGGGATTTTTTTTTTTTTTTTTTTTTTTTGTGGGGGGGGGGTGTTATGCTTGGTATTGCGTATAGTTGAAGGGCTCAAATTTGGTGGATGGACTTATGCCATGCTTATGTTGTGGATGACTTCAAACACTAAACTGTACCACAATGGATCTAGATGCCTTGACGGGATAGAATGGTTTTGTATATTTTATGGGGGGATATGCAGGGCATTTTATATGTAATGAAGGGCTTATATTAGGTGGATGGACTTATGCCATGCTTATGATGTTGAGGACTTAAACTGTCTCAAACTGAAATGTAGATGCCTTGGCGGGTTAGAATGGTTTCGTATACATGATGAGAGCAAATTAACTTGATACAATGTGGCCAATTTTATTAGTTATTATCAATGCCAATGCAGCATTCTAGTATGACAATTATAGGTTTAAAAGTAGTAGTTGCTGCTATAAAAAATTAGTGGAGTATCGGGGGGCCTTTGGTTTGAGAGATTGTAAAATGTGAAGGAGGCGTGTTGCCAGGCAGTTCTCTCCCAAACAAGAAAAGGAAAAGTTCAAAAGAATATGATATGGACCATATTGTGCTGTCTATCACAATATTTCTTTGTTAATGATTTGGAAGAGGCAGTTTTATAAAAGGTACTCAACAATAATCTTTAGCTTGTTGAAAGCTGGTAATCTATTCCCGTTAAATCTTTAAGGGTAGTTTGTTGAAAACTGGTAATCTATTCCCGTTAAATTTTTTAAGGGATGTGTCTTTGCGAACCTTTTGCAAAATTGCAACCATCAACTTGATCTAATGTCCTGGCTATTTTTTATCAGAATTTTTCAGACAAAAATAATAGTAAGATTATGCCGACATTGTTTGTCCTAGATTCCTAGCTGTTGTAATATATCTTGACCAAATTGGTACATTATGTTGGAGTTAATTTCTTCTAGACACCCTTTAAAAAAAATTAATTATTTGGCTTTGGACAAGACATTTTTTCAAGTGGAGGGTGGGGGTGGTTAGATTTAACACAATGGATGGACGCTGGGATTTAGATTCAGAAACAGCAATTCCCACTTAACCAAGAGGTGAAGTGGGAGTCGAACCCCAACTTCAAGATTTGTCCTCTTGCTTAGTTTTGACCCTTTGGCCGCTTTTTTAGGCTTTTTTTTTTATATACGGAGTAAAGTTTAAGTGCAGCTCTTTGTGAGTGAATAATGGGACTTATCAATTATCATACAGTTACAAAAATGAATATTAGGGACTCATCTCATGTCTTTAAATGAGTGCATAGTTTTTTGTTTATTTCGTCACAGTCCCTTAAATTTAATAATGGCAGTTTTTACATTTGATAGCCTTTTATTTGTTCAGAAAGAGCTGTGTAAAATATTCTTATATATGTTCACCTTCATATACCATACACTTGTAGAAATGCTTATGATTATATTTCTGCAGCAACGACCTCATCAGCCTGTTCCGCTCCATTCCATCACAGATGTGGTGCAAGAACTTTGGGAACAAAGATTATTAGAGCTGCTTCAATATGTCAATTCTGTACCGCAAAGTGTTTTAATTCTTAAATCATGGACAAGTTTCTCTATAATTATTTTGCTCTTCAGCTGAGTAGCTCTGTATGCTCACCTTTGAGGTAATCTCAATAAAATTGAAATTGAGTGGATAAGCATTGTTTTGTAGTTTTACATGAGATGGAAACTCCTTTCTCTATTCTGCCAGTTTTTAACAATGTTTGGAATGATTCTCGAGCTGTATAATTGAAGTTTCATATTATCTCTATCAATTTAGTTCATTCTATGGGATAATTTACTTAGGATAAGTACGTGCAGAAGTACAAGCGCAATACTACAATAGTACATGTGAGGAAGGCAATAGGATCAGGAAATTACTTTGTTGAATAGAGTGATTAACTGCTACTATCTTGGCCTGTAACCTAATCTTCCCCCTCTTTTCGGTCTTCTATTATACTAGTTTCTGGCTGTCTGCTGATGATGCACATTGTCATTGATTTGGGCATAGCTGGCTGGATATGTGATCCTCTGGGCCCTGGCTAAGTTCATTTTAAAAGCATTTTGGAGATATAATTAGATAAAATAGGGTTAGGTTTGGACACTAAACATTAGGTATAACTTTGGTACTAGATTTTGCTCCTATACAATAGACAAATTACTTTGACTTGAGCTTTATTCAGATTTCAATGCTTATTGTTTATCAGTCACTCCAGAAATTTCAGGCTTGTTAGACCATGTTTCCTCTTTTTTTTTTTTTTTTTTTTTTTTTTTTTTTTTTTTTTTTTCCCTTTTCTCTTTAACTGCATTTCGCTACTTCCCTCCTGAAATGATTCTCATGAAGGCATGGCCTCTCAGTCGCACACTTGCATAGGTTTAGACGGTTTTAGATTATTTCCATTCTTCACATAACTCTTATGGTAGGATCTGATTCTAGAACATCTAACGTCCTGTCATTTAGACGAGATGATGGAATAAGTGCGTCATTTCAAAACTTGTTCATGCTTTTCTTCTAAAGCATCTAATTCCGCCTGTGGAGACTGGAGGATAGGGAAGGCAGAAAGGTACGAGGGATTTGAGACCAACAGTGACCATGTTTTGTTTTCTGACATTTAAACCAACAGAACTAAACATTTTATTCAAATTCGCTCTATCCTGTATTCCTGTGTATTAGATTAGCAGCTGCATGACAACATTATTATATATGGAAAGTGGACAAGTCGCAACATTCCCTATAACGAAGAGGTTTAATTGGAGTCATCACCTTTTATTCTGAGCATATTCTCAAGGGGAAATCTGAAAAAAGGAGAGATGGAGAATGGACTCTGTAAAAGATTTGCTTTTGAAGGTTGAGCTTGTGGTTCAATAGTCTACCCACAATGCTCAAAATAGTATGGGATTTATTCCTTAACTGTTAAGGTAATGTAAAAGTACAATCAGGAAACCTTTCTCTGGTAAAACGTAAATTTGTTCTCAGTTGTGACGAGAACAAATAATGAATATCAAATAAATGGTCAATATGTTGCATGTTGCACTTCTCTTGAAGTTGTGATTTTTACAGAGTTTCACTTCTAGAGGGTGAGCAGAATTGTTTGGTTTAACATAAGTTGGAATTTTCGTGGGAAGTTTTACGTACCCAAGGGATTAGTTACACAAATTATTCCATTTAGTGACGGTAGAAGTTCAACTCATAGTTCAACTCATGATGATCATGTTAACCAAACTAATACATCAAATCTTTTATGGGTACTTCCTAGGAAGTGGTAATTCTCATGTATTTCGATGCCAACAAAACCACTCATATTAAGAATTTGATTGTACGATTAACTTTATAATACGTAGATACTTTGATCAAGAACATGTATCTCAAAAAGATTAAAAGCTCTACTGAATTACTCGTAGGGCCTTTTATAATAATCATCTTCCGTGATTGATACCCAATTATGCATATACACCAACATTACTTCCCCCTTTTTTTATGCTAAAATATCAGCATCACTTATTTTGCCAATGGCGTGCAATGGTCGCCGCGTAAAGAATACTGGCACAGTGGCACTGGCTTGATAAAAGTCATGTAAGGGGTTGAAAATTGGAAAACACAACCTTAACCCCAAATCAGGCAAGAGACAATTTATGCTTTGGTTCTGTTGGTTTCTATTTATATTATTTTGATTTATTCTGCTTGCCAAAAGAATTGCTCCATCAATTTGATTATATTGGAACAAATTTTGATTAAGTTTTCTATGGAAGAAAAGTTGCCCACAGGAAGCTATATTCTCATTAACTTTTTCCACCTTTTAATCACTTGGTTGTATAGCGATATTTACCTACTACTAAGTATACTCAAGTCTCGAGAGGGAGGGATAGCTCAAGTGGTTAGAGCTTCCCTCCTGATTTCAGATGATCCCGGGATCAATTCTCACCCCCGACCTAATAGGCATGTAGTTATTTATAATATTATTATGTAGAAATTGTAAATGTTACCGTAGAAAAAAAGTTATAGTCGAAATATTTTTTTGTCCACTCTTCTCAAAGATTTATTTTTTTCCTTCTATTTTTTTTTTTTTTTTTTTTTTTTTTTTTTTTTTGAAATAAAAAGCTAACATTTTAATTACGTATACTTATCTACTAAACATCATAATATGGATCCTTCTGGTTCTACCTTAGAGTAAAGTGAACATTACAAATTAACGCCATTCTAACATTAAAGATATACAACAACTTTTCTGTGTGGCTGACCACATTGCGTGACAGAGGTTACTTGTAGGGTTTAGTTATTTAGGGGTTACTTGTAGGGGTTACTTACTCAGTCAGTTAGCGCGTTTTTTGTGTGAGACATAAAAGATGTAACCAGCCACATATAAAAATTTGTGAAAGACATAAAAGATGCTCGTTCAACTAATGATAACAGATACATTTATATACCCTAAATTGTGAAACTTTTTTATAATTAATTGCTGCATAAAGACGTCCACTAAAAAAATGCCCTTTTATATATGCTATTTTTATTACTCCCTTAGTATGTGTTTAGTGTCTATATTATCTTTGTATTTGTTTCTATGGAAACTACTTCCTCAATTCCTCCATTTTCCTAATATTACAACATTGGGTAGGGGAAAGACATACGAAGTATATAAAAGAGGAAAGAGATAGAGATTTTTTTTTTAGAAATCTGAAAGAGATATAGTTAAATAAAAGATAAGAGACAATGATGACTCTAATGAGGATAGATAGAGAGAAATCATGTGCATAAAAAAAAACATTGCGATATTTTCAAAACTTTCTAAATAATACAGAGTAATTATTGTAATATCAGGAAAACAAAGGAAATAATCTATTATAAAATACTCAATAATTATTACTCTTTCCATATCATATAATGGTAAAATCTCCATTTCACTATTTACTTTAAATAAAAAAAAATAAAAAATTTCCACAATTAGTAAAGATGATCCCCAAGTAAAACCTGTCCAATAAACATCTAGTTCCAGGAACCTATCACAATTCTCATATTCTACCCGTTTTTCAAACGGGCAGCCCCATTACCGAATACCGACTATCCAAAATCTCTGCCCGTACATTCCGGGCAGCTCAGACTCATTCACTCCTCTGAAACAAAGAACAAAGTCACCAATACTGAGCTCACTATATAAATGCACTTACGACAGAAATTTATTGACACATTCTCACTTTTTCTCTCTCCTCTGATTTTCTTCTTCTTCTTCTTTACTGGGTAAACTTATGTTCTTCGTCACTTTTAATTTTAATTCATAAATTTAAACTTTATTTTGTGTTTAATTTTGTGATTGATTGATTATATTTTTTGATGACTAAAAATGTGATTGATTTGATGTCGTTTTTCAGTAGTGAATAATTTTTGGAAAATGTGGAGAGTTACTCGATCTGCGGCGGCGAATCTCCGCCGTACGCGGCGGTTTTTCCGTGGCTGCTACGATTCCTGGTCCATGTATGGTGCATAAGCGTGGTGCTGATATTCTTCATGATCCTTGGTTTAATAAGGTTGATTTTTAGGCATTTTAATTTTTTGTTGATTTTGTGAAAATCTGATTGAATTCAGGATATTTGATGAGTTGATTGTGTCAATTTTAAGACATTGTGATTGATTTTTGATTGATTTTAATCAGATATGCAAGTCAAAGTTTCAAAATGTTTTTTGACTTGGTAATATGATATTAATCATATTTGTGTGATTTTACATAATGTTAACTTAAGTCAAATTGGAGATTGTTATGTGAATTTACTGGATTTAAGGAATGGAGTGATTAATTGAATATATGCTTGAAGTTGTAGTTTTATTGCTTCTGGCAGTGGAAGTTTGTTTAGATGTTATTAATGCTAAATGAGGAAATAATTGGGAGATATGTGATGATAAGGGCAGGGCACCCTGTGTTGTGTTTATGGAAGTCTCGCCTTGATTTGGACACGCGTTGGGACTCGAATTGTGTATCGATTGTTTCTTGTCACATCTATAAAGCTTTTGAGATGCAAGGAAAATCTTGTAAACTAACAGCAATCTGTAATTCATCCTTATGATGTAAAAATTTGATTTAACATGTATTACTTGTGAGTTGCTGTAAACTGGTACCAATTTTTTGTATAATAGTGCAAGAGAAGGACTTATGTGTCTGAGCAATGCACTTAGACATGATTTTCAATGGCAACTATGTCAAGTGATTAGCCTTTTGGCTTAGATCACTATTATAGATTTATACCTTAATGACACACTATGTCTAAGTTCATTTAATTTGCCTTCATCATCTATCTTGCCATGAAAAAAACTTTTTTTTGTTTTTAAAACTTATATTGATCCTAGTACTTGATTACTTGTTTTGCTACAAGCATACAAGAGAAACTTTAAATTTAGTTGTTTGCATTTTTCAAATATTTTTTGAGCAGGATACTGCATTCCCTTTGACAGAAAGAGATCGACTAGGGCTTCGTGGTCTCCTGCCACCTCGTATTATTTCATTTGAACAACAGTATGCCCGTTTCAGTAAGTCCCATTCCCTTTTAACTATGCCTACTATATCTTGAGTTTTTATTTATTTATTTTTTTTTATTAATTTTTATTTTTTTTTGATAGCTTTTTCGGTACAATCTCCATTTGTACTTCTAGAATATGGTTGAAAATTCCACAAGTGGTGTATTATATATTTTTTACTAATTTAGATAGAATTGAGACTTAATCAACCATTAATTGTCTAATGTACTTATCCCAGCTTTCTTACTATCTGTCTCTGTGTAATGACTAGTTGATGAAGAA